ACTTCCCCTACAATTTCTCCTCCCAGCAGCAAGGGCCCAAAGAAACAAAGAGCAGGGGGACACAAATAGTCAGCTGGAAGAAAAAGCACGGCATGGGGCTGGATGGCAGATGCACTGAAGGCAGGGGTGGTGACTGGCAACAGGCAAGGTCCTGCACCTGGGTGAGGGCAATGCTCAGTATCAGTACAAACTGGGTGATGAACTGATTGGGAGCAGCCCTGCAGAGGACTGGGGCATACGGATGGATGAAATCAAACATGAGCCAGTAATATGAGTTTGCAGTCCAGAAAGCCAACCGTATCCTGGGCTGCATAAACAGGCCAGGAAGCTGAGGGAGACGATTGTCCCTCTGTGCACTCTCGTGAGACCCCACCTGGAGTACTGCACCCAGCTCTCAGGCCCACAGTACAAGAAAGATGTGTCAGAGCAGGTCCAGAGGAGGGCACGAAAAAATCACGAGAGCTGGAAGATCTCTCCTAGGTTGTTCAGCCTGGAGAAGAGAAGGCTCTGGGGAGACCTTACTGCAGCCTTCCAGTACCTGAAGCAGGCTTGTAGGACAGATAGACATTTTACTGGGGCCTGCAGTTGACAGGGCAAGGGGCAGCGGTTTTAAACACAAAAAGGGTAGGTTCAGATTGGACATAAAGAAGAAATGCTTTATGGTGAGGGTGGGGAGGCACTGGAACAGGTTGCCCAGAGAAGCTGTGGATGCCCCATCCCTGGAAGTGTCCAAGGCCAGGCTGGATGAGGCTTTGAGCAACCTGGTCTAGTGGAAGATGACCCTGGCAATGGCAGCTGGGGGGTGGATGAGATGATCTTTGATGGTCCCTTCCAACCCAAACCATTCTGTGATTCTACGTTTATTTTATCTTCCCAATTTGGGCTAGGTCAGGAAGAAGCTGACAACATTGCTATCACTATTAGGCTCAAGAAGCAGAGCTGTGCTGGGTAACAGCAGTACTAAACGCACTGCAGGTTCTGAGGATGAAATGGACATTGAATCAATCACATCAATCATCATTTGTTTGCACATAATGAAACTTCTATTTTGGTTCACTCTTGCTGTAAAAACAGAAAGTGATGTTTTTCAGCTCCAGATTTTTTCCATCACATCAACCAAAAGACTGACTTTGCAACACGACAGCTGAAGATTACAATAACTCAGACAAACAGTTTTTGAAAGGAGAGGTATTTCACTCAATGGTTTCTCAATGACAGGTCTTGCTGGTTAAAATTCTGATGATATCCTACCAGTTCCTGGAAAATTCTCCCTGATCTGTGGTCCATATTACGGTGTATTACTTTTCAAAATCATAGTTCAGCGAAAGAAGCATGGAATGATAACCAGCATACAAGTAAGTAAGCAAAACAGTAATACCAACAGGTGTTAAATTTGCAACAGCATTTATCTGTTTACTATGGGTGGAAATGAGCTTTTATGAGTTACTGAAAGGACTTGTTTAGTCTCCTAGCTAAAATCCTGGTAAGTATATCAAACAATTTCATAACAGCACTAGTCAAAACCTTCAAAGTCAGCAAGCTTACTCACCACTGCCATATGAAAATGCACGGACAGAGCGACCATCATAGCCAGAAGAATGTCCACTGTTGAAAAGAAAATGCATGTAAAGATCCAGTTTTACCATCAAAGCTACCTCCATCAGTAAATATATACCTTCAGTATTATTCCCCTGAATTCTTACCACCATAGAGACTAAAACAAAGTGTTTGTTATAAATGGACTTAAGTCTTCCATTTTGAGCGTTACTAATTAAAGAAGCTCTCTATCAACACAAATATGGGTAATTCATGTTTTACTACAGGAGGCGAAAAAAGCATTCTCTCTTCTTAAAATTTAAAACAAAAATATCCATACCATCAAAGTTGGTCTTTCGTATTTTTCAATTAACGTTTTATTTCAAACGTTTTTTGTGTCATGTTTTTGCACAGATACTGAACTTAATCTTCAACTGCTTGAAAGTGCTTCATTCACCAATGAAGCCATTCTCATCCTTTCTGTAAAATGTAGGTATGGGAGCATATCTAAGAACAGGTGGACTTCAAATGTGTAGTTCTATAAATAAACTATTCAACTAGCTACACAGTTTCTAGGCTGATGTATTTCAGTGGTAGCCAACTCAAGTGGGTAAAAATCAGAAAGGTTAAAAAGGATGGTATGTGCACAGGATATAATTCATACTTATAAAATTCTTTCATGACTTTTAGCACTTCCTACATGACTTGAATGAATTCTCTTTGCAGTATATAACCTAAGTGTTACTCCTGTTCTTGAAGGCACTTTACAATTAAGAAATAAGTTTTGGGTTAGCTTAATTTAAAAACAAAACAAAATATTAATGAAGCACCAATGCAACACCTTGAAAGGGTGAGATTCAGTTCCTAGGTTCCACAAAAAGCTTGATTTTTTCATATCATGTTTCAGAAACTATATAAATATTCACTGCAAGTAAACGCAATGACTGCTGCTTAACAGTCAGAAGCAGCAATCCCTCAAAGCAACTGTCAGTATAGAATAATAAATTTGCCTTCATGCACAGCAAATGCATCCAGTTAGGGGTTTTTTTTCTGAAATAAATCACATGAGGATTTTCTCAGATTTACCATCATCATCCTGTAGCGTGTATGTTAATAGAATTTTCAATTTCAAAGGAACAGATGTGTGCACCTTCCTTCAGTGAAATCCAAAGGACTGGGAAGAGGCTTGCACCATCTTCTTAAGTGAGCTTTGTATATGACCTAGTTTTGGCCTCTGGCAAAATATAAATACGTTTCAAGGACTGTGTTGGCCAACTTTTTTTTCTTCCTCTTACATATATATATAAAATATATGTATGGATACACATATACATGTATATGTATATAAAAAGGGTATTGAAAAAATATTATTAGGCCTATTAAAGGTGAACACACACAGAGCAGAAATACACATGTGGATTCTGTGGAACTCTGGCATTTCCTATAGCTTAAGAGGGCTTGAATCTGTGGCCAAATTGTTTATTTGTATTTATAGAAAATGATACAGTAGCTGACAAGTATAGGGTACACTTCAATAAGCCTGCAGACTCCTAAGGAATACTTTAACAATCATCACCTTGACTTTGTTCAAGTCTTGGCATTGAGTGGTCAAGCAACCTACTCAAAAGGATATAAAGTGTCAGGTGAGCCTGGTAACGTTTCTGTAATATTCTGAAAGTGTCTCCCCACCACAGAACACCGGGTAGTGTAAGAGTCCTTACTGATTTATTTGTTACAGAACACTGATACAAGCTTTATAAGTTTTCAAATAGATAATCACCTGTCTATTGTGGGTATGAGGGAAGGTGGAGGGCCGCCAGGTGGTGGTGGAAAGCCTGTAGTAAGACATTAGGTGAGGAGGAGGGAAAAGAAAAAACCCAAAACATGAACACATAAAAGAACTAGGCTAAGCATACAATGGCAAACAAATTCCGGAGAGTACAACGCAAAAAATGGTTTCTCACTGTGTAAATGGGTTTTATTATGTAAGATTATGAATTACTTTCCAGCTTAACAAAGGCAGCGTAGTAAAATATTATCAGTGCTTCAAATCAGGTACCTATCATTTTTAAAAATGCAATCATGTAGAAGCATAGGAAAATTCCTGAGTATCTAGCAACACATAATAAACAACAATCACAACTATTTTCTGCATAGCTGAAAAAAAAGCATGAAAGCCAAGAAGGAAGCACACTTCTAAGGAAGTGGCTGACTAAATCCACTACTCAACAGCATTTTCATACATTTTCTATTCTGCCTTGCATCAAAATAACTGAGCCTACATCTAGTTCTGTATTTATGAACTCTTATCTATACAAACGAAAAGAAACTCAGTAAGTTGCACATCAGTTAAGCTTTCATTTCTAAACCAAATGTGGAAAAAAATTCTAAGCAAGTTTACCTGGTGGTGGCACTGTTATTGGTATACCTAAAAAGACAACAAATAATCTATCAGTTATAGTAACAGTTTATGTTTATCATCTGTAAGTCTAAAAAACAGACTGAGTTATCACCATGTACATGATCAAGAAGAATGATAACTTATTTTCTCGGTCCTCAGATCAAGTTAATATCAACTGTTAAGATTTTATGCAAGCCTTGTGACATCTGGCTTGTTATTTAAATTCCTATTCTTCAGGCTCTTATTTAATTAGCGACAAAAACCATGCAAAATGATTCTGGGTCTCAAGATTAGAATTAAATCTATAACCCTAAAATGTTTAGTATTCAGAAGGAAGTTAACATCCCACAGGATATATCTGCTTTAATTTACATTCCATGACTGGATATAAGGAAACTCAATTGGCCTCTAACCTTTAATAGCTTACTATCAGAAACAGTAGGTCCACATGGACAAAATATTCTAGCAACATTAAACATTACAGACTTTTCAGTCTACGCTATGCTCCTCTGCATTTAATCACTCAGTTGCTTCTTGGAGGGGTAAAAAAAAAAATGTTTGCACTATTTTCTTGTCAATACCTGAGAAAGGAGCATCCTTTAATGAGAACACATTCAAAAACTGTTCCAACTTCGCTGGGTTTTTTTTTGTTTGTTTGTTTGGGTTTTTTTAGCTTAGCTGTTACAAATCTAACTAAAAGCTGAAAACTGTTCCCAACTAAATTACCTGTCCTAACAAAATATACTGCCTCAACATATAAACCTATCTTATTTGATTATAAAAGGGATGATTACGAGGTAAAAATAATTTGTACACTTCAGAAGATATTATTTTCTCATACTTCACAAAGAACTAGGTTTACCTCAGCTGAACACACAAAACATCATTACATGTAAATAATAAACTGGGCTAAAACAGTTATCGCCAGCAAACAGACCACCAGGCATAAAGCTCTTTCAGTTATAAGCAGATCTGTTTCCATTAAAAAGTAAGTACTTTCCATCTGACAACTCACCGCAAGACTTTGTGGTGGAGAGAAGAGAAAACTTTGCCAAGTGCTTTCATCAGTTTTGCCCTAACTGCATAAACACCCAGACAGAAAAGCAGCCAGACCCACTTACATTAAGCCCCACCTCATTCAAGTTCCAGACTTCATGCAGAGAATACCCTAGATGTACTGGCCACTGCATGATTAATTTTATGTATATATCAGGAGTTCAGCATCAGAACTAAGAGTCTGTTGTACGGCAGCAACATGTAACTACACCTTCCTATTATAGTGTCTAGAAATGCCAATTGCTCCCAAATTGCCTTGGCAAAAGGACAGAATGAAGGAATTTGGAAGCTCAGGAAGAGCAATCAGTATCGATGTTCACTAATTGCTGGTGATTTCACGGATATGAATTCTTACCAGCATGAATCCTACAGGATTAAACAAACAGTGAAATAAAACTGAGGTTGCTGTCCAATCCTGAAGATATAATCTCTCAGCCAAAATGTAAATCAGGAGACAGTGAACCCCAAAAGCCAAATTTCTAAACTGCATGAGCCACTTTCTCTTCACCAGCACACAAGAACTATTTGTTAAGAACACTGGAAATCACACCATTAGAAGTGTGACAGTGTAACATTTAGCAGACCAAACACTCCCAATGAAAATTTCTGAAAGAAAAGGAAGACTGAGAACTCAAACTGCTGCATAGCTGAACTATTTTCTACTCATATTTTTTGGTTAATTGTCCATCTTAATAAATTCTTCATTAATCTACAACATAGAATATATATATATTAAAAAAAATACCTTTTAACAGCAATATTACAAATGTAAGATAGAAAAATATCAGAAGTTCTCTCAAATAGACTAATATATTAGCTCTACCTTATGCTTAAAAAAACATCAATTGCTGCACTAAAACCTATTGCAAAACATACTGCAAATCAGCAGAACTGTGCAATAGCCCATGGCAATGTGATATAATCCAACCTGGCGTAAAAAACTTCATTTGCCACAGGCTGAACTATGTCAAATTCTCTCTCCTTTATCACAAGAGAGAAAATACGTACCCAGATGGCTGGGGCTGAGCGGATGGACAGTTACTTGCTAAGCCCTGTCCTAAGTCTAGGCACTCAAACTTCCCAAAGCAATGCGACGGAAGTTCAACACTTCAAGGGGTTTTGGTTTTTTTAGTATCACAAATACATGTCACATTTTAACTATATTCTTAAATCAGAACACATAAAACAACTTTTAAAGCCTGCTAACCAGAAGCATCCACCTTCTTCTTCAGGTTTAAACTACTTCAACATAGCAATAAAGCAAGCAAACAAAAAACCAACACATTTTTTGCCATAGCCAGTGCTCTCCTAGGAGTATTTGAGAATTTTCTGCATTTGGCCCTCTGAATCATTCCAGGACTTGTTCCTCAAAAAAGATTTGAATCGCAGGAGCGAATGAGTTCAGAACAAGAGATCTAACTTCAAAGCAAGATCCTTTTTCAAAGGGGCTTTTGGAGGATGTTTTATATTTGGAATACTTAAATTTTCTGGCAAGTAGTCCCAGTTTAATATTGGGTAAGAGTAGTTTTTTTCCTCCTCCTCCACTGAACCTAGGAGGGATGGCAGATTCTATTTTAGGAACAGCTTTGAAGATAAAGAGCTGGCAACAGCACAATTAAAACACAGGCCTGAAGAAACCAAATCCACAGCTCTTAATCGTTATTTTCAAATCTACTCGAAGCACGGAAGGATGTTGAAGGAGACCTTCTGAACAAGTGTATGTCATAAACCTGTCTGTAAGGCAGGAGACTAAAGCCAAACCTGCTCGCTAAATCTGTAACACATGTGAATTTCTTCCACCTTTAAAAACTCAACAGGTGGGGGGTTTCACAGGAACAGACCAGGACACCTATACAACAGCCCTGCACCCAGTGCGTTTGGGGTGTCTGTGGGGGTTCCTCTCATGCTTTTAATAATATACAACTTGGATCACCTTTTCTGTACCACAATCAAAATGAAAATACTTTCTAAAAACTCTCAATGCATTAGCTAAATCATTTTATCAGAAAGGTTTTAATGCAGCTTAAAACCACAGTCAGCGCTAGCGTCATGTTCCTCTCCTTTCTGTTCCCCTTGCACTAAGGAAACACCACAAAACTGCCAGAGCAGTAGCATATTCTCTCTTCAGACACCCTAATTTTTATGTTTATGCACAGAAACTTGGAAAAGGGCACAGAATTTTTACATCTTTACATCTCTTCTGTTTCCTAGGTTGCACCACTTTGTGTATGACAATCACTGATGAAAACCAGAGCTTGCCAGGCGGCAGGAATTAATAGTTTCAAAACTATGAGCAGCAACTGAAAACAACCTCTTCTACCAGTATTTAATCCCTATAAAGCCCCACACAAATTTGTTGCACAGAAATAATACTGTTACCTCCTTGCTTATACATAAAAGTATTAACAGAGAAACTTAAAAGATTCCCTCTGCAACAGAATAGCAAAGAAACTGGTCATCACGATTTCAGAACAAGTCAAGCAACAAAATGTAAGGAACAAAAGGGGAAATCCATGGACAAATAAACAAATATTCTATTGTCTATGTCTCTTCTATAAACCAACCCTTCACCTTCCTACTCAAATACTCCCCAGAGTTTCTCCAGCTATGATCAGTGAGAAACTAAAATTCTTAGTTTCTTGCTAAGTCCTTTTGAACTTAATTCCTTAAAATGCCAACACTCTGGTAACTGCACTATTTGTGAAACGCCCATGACACTCTCCCCCATAAATTGCCATAAATATCAAGTTTCAGTAAATATTCAGTAAATATCAGTACATTTCAAAGCACATTTAACAATGAGAACAGTTCTCAAAGAGCTTCGATTCGACTGAGATTCACAGATACAGGATGCTGGATAAAAACACCAGGTGCTAATAAGACCTCTGACTGGAAGAAAGGATACGGCACAAATGCAGTTCTCAGACTTGGGAATTCATCCATACTGTGAGGGCAAAGGGGAATTAAAGCTTCTGCTGCTGCTTTGACCTTAGTCATCAGAGAATCCAATTTATGACACAAATTCATGGTATGCCATATTTTTAGTTCACAAAGTTTACAGAATGAGTTGTTTCTACGCCTCAACAGCATTAACAATAGCTGAATTATGGAAAACAGCTTCTCACTTGACACATTTTCAAGGACACAGGATCCAACATTTACTCTTTACGTAGTTATTTACTACTTGGGATTACACTTACTGAGAAAGTAAAGTTTCTGTTTCTGCCTTGCAGATATATTTAAGAGAAGAGTAGAACACAAAGTTCTGAAATTCAGCACGTATAGCCAAGCATGCACGGAATGTGCCATCTTTAATTCGTTATCATCAAGTATTAGATGATAATGCATCTCCTTTTTCACATCCTATGTAGTGGAGGATATTTACCTGGTGGGGGAATCAGAGGTGGAGCAGTACTGACAGTTGGAGGGGGTGGGAGAAAAGGAGGTGGTGGAAGGTGGGTAGGTGGAGCTCCTGGAGGGAAAAATGGAGGTGGCTTGGTAAAATTGTCTACTTCAGGATTAGATCGTTCTGAAAGAACCTGTAAAATATCAAACTATAGTTACAATTGCTATGTCAAAAGGGTAGAAGATAGGTTTCCTCTCTTTCCACTTACTACAACAGGGAAGTATTACTAATGCACCTGAAGAGCCATATTCAGACGGTTTAAGTGCTTCCTGCATCCCTACACTCAGTGTCCCACACATGCCAAGCACCTCTGAGGGTCTAAGAGCAGCCAATAGGGAACAACAAATGTAAGATTTGAGAGGGAACATAAACCTTCTGAATACGGCCCAAAACACCATCTTAAATTTATATATAAAGGGATGTATTTTAAAAATCAACATGAAAAGCATGAAAAAACCCAAGCCTTTAATTTACTTAAACACTGTGAGATCAGCTGAAAAACACAGGGCCGCTCTTTCAATACAGGCACTGAAATCCATTATTCTTTTCTTTGTTCAACCTTAACCTAAATTGGCATAGAAATGCAGCTAGGGCACCAAGTAACCTTGATTTTTCTCCACATGTAAGTCAGGAAGAAAAAGTGTATTCCATTTTAACGCATTTAGTTGTTCTCTTAAGATAATCCAAGCCCCTAAAGACTAAAATCATAAAGACTAGTCTTACAATTTATGGTAAAATACCACCATATAACTTTTTTAAAAGTACTATGAAGTATTTTTCCTTCACAACTTATTTTTAAAAGACTGCATTTTTCAAACTGCGTATGAAGAGACTTTCACCTTCAGCATTAGTGGCAGGAATTGGGGAGAAATAGACAGTTTAAATATTTAGCTCTGTCACGTAGTAAACAAAACACTATCCCATGCAGATCTAGGACAGCCAATGCTGTCTCCTGGATTGTAAGTCTGCGATATTACTCATTCCCTTTCGGTAAGTAGTATACCAAAACATTTATCTTTTGATATATATAAAATATCTTAATATATTTCAATAAATTGCCACAACTTTCTTCCCGAACTTAAAGCTACTTCTGTATTTCTCATTCATACACACTGAAATGTTGTGATCAGAAGTTAGGGGGAAAACACAAATGTCTTTTAGTGAAAGATAGTGTGCAAAGCTGCAGTATGAAACCTGTATGTTGCTGTTTTCGTTAGCACGCCGTCGTCCTTCCACCCTGCTGATAGTGATGGTCTGTCCGATCACATCTATTGCGCCAGGTAATCGCCTGCAACACAGGGCAAACCAGAATCAACAAGCAGAATTAGAAAAGGAAATTTAAAAAAAAAAATAAGGAAAGGGAGAGAAAAGAAAGTCTCATGGACTTCTCATTCCAAATGCCAAAAGCTCCTTCTCCTGTATAAAACATCAAAGACCATTTCTCAAGGACATTAAATGTGGTAAAATTGCTGAACTATGCAAGTGTGTAGAACTAAACAATGCAGCAATGAAGACTCTGGTAGGATGAAGGCTGACTCTCCACATTCTCCTCCTATCCCCTAGAAGACAATAAATCTACACTTCTGTTACCAATAAAAGAAAAAAGAATAAAGGAACAATACAGCAAGATCACAAAAACACCTCAGCAAGAAAATAACATATTAAACAGAACTTCTGCAAAAATCTAAAGTAAAATAGTTATTAATTAATCATTAGAAACTATTTCTAAACTGCAAGAAACCATACTGGGGGATTCTATGGAATATCAAATGAACGTAAGTTAGGAGGCAGACATAAACATCAGCCAATCCGACCCTGCACATGCTATCGATATTGCAGCACACACTGAATAAAATCAGCTACCATCCCTCTTACCTTGGGATGTGCAACTAGTAGACACCGACTCTTAAATTCAACCTTACATGGTTAGACCAGCCATTCACAATTCTGTTCCTCAGCTTTCCAAACACAAAACCTCTCTCTCTCAAACACCTCTAAAACACTTCCACATCTAAGCACTATGTTCACCTTCTCTAAAGAAACGGGCAACAGAGCAGCACGAGACCCCCCTCACTCTCCCTTACAACCCAATCCAGCAACAACAGAATGTAACGTAAATTAAGAACATCCACCTTAAAAATAGTTTGTAATGTATTTTTAGAGAACGATGACAAAACTGACATGCATATACACATTCTTTCACTCCCAGTTTCTGCCAATCAAAACTTTAAGGACTTCCCATGCGACTGCATTTAACAGCCCCTGATTAACTCGCATTGGCACAATCTCTTTTGAACACACTACTGCTTTTCATCTCCAGTCATGACATCTGTTTCAGCTGTTCTTTTGCCTGACAACTGTATTTTGGTGACAATTGTATTTGGTGACCAACAGTCCTTATGTTAGGACAAAAAAAAAAAAAAAGTATTCCTGTACCCTGGCAGTGTACTATTCGTGGTACCTCTGTTACAGCTATTCCCAGATGTCTCTTTCCCAAGCTGAGCTAGTCCACATCTCTCCTCATATGGAAGTCACTCCAAAACTCTCATTTTTTCCTTCATCTTTCCTACCTCTACTGTATCTTTGCTTGTCTGACAAAGAGAACCACAGATAATATTCATGCATCATGGCTTTATGTACTACCATACCGTCTGTTATTATGGCTACACAGCTGTCAACTGCAACTTTTTCATTTCTTAACTTTTCAAAGCAGATTGAAAATGGCTACACTGAGGGTAAAGACACAATCGTATCCCACTGGATACAAACACTAGAATTTAAAGCATAACCAGCCTCTCAAAATCTTCAATAAGTCAACCACATGGGAATATGCTGACAGTAAAGGTCAGGTGCCAGACAAGAAAATAGAATCATAGAATCACAGAATGGTTTGGGTTGGAAGGGACCTTAAAGACCATCTAGTTCCAACCCCCCTGCCATGGGCAGGGACACTTTGCACTAGACCAGGTTGCTCCAAGCCTCATCCAGCCTGGCCTTGGACACTTCCAGGGATGGGGCATCCACAAAAATAGTATGAGAAGGATCTGAATGTCATCTACTAAAACCCGGTATCTGGGATAATGGAGAACCACTATTTTGAAGAGAGGAAGAATCTAAAGTACAGTGAACTTTCCTGTTTGCAGCCCCCAAAAAAATCAAAGCCCAGAAACCTAGCTTTATAGAGAATTTGTTACTCTTATGCAGGTAGAACCTACTTGCTTTGCAGCCTACAGTTCATTTCTAAACAAGGTTAAAAAGCAGGATTCACTTCAGTTAACTCCATTAGAAAATAAGGTACAAAATTACATTGCTAAAGAATTAAAGAAACAATGGAACGTACACCCATAAGGGCAACCACAGTAGAGAACACTGACACCATTTACCGAGAGCACGAATTTCAGGAAAAAAATCCATACAAAGAAAAAAAAAATACTTCTAGTTTTATAAGACGCATTTTCTTTTCTTTGTGTCTAGGGGACTACTACCCACAATAATATAAATCGCAGGGTGAACAGCTGGAAATTGGGATTACAGGCTCCGAGTTCTGCCAGACTGATAGTTCTGACCCCAATTGCTCAAATACCTAGATTCCAACGCAGCTGAAAACCACACAGCAGACACTGGAGCATGAAGGATCAATTAGATCTCCAAGAGATTATCTAAAGTTCCTTGGCAGACTGCATACTGAGGATGATCCAAATGCCTATCCTCTGAGCTTTTCAGTATCTGTGTTTAGAGCTTCCTCCTGGATTTCACAGCAAGCTCATTAAGCAGAAGAGTTTGGAGGAAAAAAAAACAAAATCCAATGGTACAAGGGTCTGTAAACACACCTGCAAACTAAACCAGTATACACTATACAGCAGCCTCTCCGAGGGTAACACAGGTTTAAGAATGCCTCTGATCTTCTACCATCCCACCCTAAAAGTCAGATTGTTTCAGTCTAAATCCTGAAATAATCAACACCCGCTTTCCTAATCCTCCCCAGCAGTCTTGCATGGTATTCCAGCACTGCTGCACTCTGGATTAACACTATTTTGCTTTCAGTAACTACATTTGAAATGTAGGTATTATAAAACAATTGCTAAATCAACTGTTTCAGAGCCAAAGAAAAAAAAAAAGGACAAGTGAATTTCTGTAAAACAACAAAATTTTGTCTCAGCCTTCATTCTGGCAGCTTATTTGGTTTCAGAGTTCTAAGGCACTGGTTCTCCTCCACTGCTGGTATCAAGTCTTAATTATCTAAAACCGCACCCTAGAAAACTCACTTTACCTAGACCTTGCGTATCATAGATAAGACTCCTCTACAGCAAGCAGTCCCTCCTCAGGTGACCCCTGCCTTGACTCACTCCAGTTTTACAGGGCTTCCACTCAGGAGCGATGTAATTCAAATTAAGACTCTTCCTCTCTTGCTCTTTTTGCATACTGCCAGCAAAACTCATGGAATCAGCACTGAAAATACAGGCCATGGACACCAATGCAAGAGTACAGGGCAGTAAAGTAGTATGTGCATCAACCATGCCACAGTAATACTGATTTTGGCTTGGGAAGCAGCCCAAATACAACCCTGCAGTATCAAGGGAAGCAAATCTAGACCACCAGCTGGTTCCTAGACATTGACTTTACTGAAACAAAGAGGACTTTCACTTAATTTTTCTAGTCTAAAGAGTATATCTATGCTCACTCATTCTTGCTGCACTGGTGCTCTGCAATTGTTTTTTAACCATGTTTTATAGTGGTGTGTCCATTGTTCTTCCCAACAGCTGCCAAGAGATTTAATTTTTGTAATGATGGATGAGTTCAGGAATTTGCCAGCATACCCTGAACTTGACAAATTCTCTATTGCCAAGACTATAATAATTACTTCATTAAGCACTCCATGAAAAGAGCTTGGAATTGAAGAAGAGAAAGCATACGTTCAGTTGCAAATGGAGCAGCAGATAACACCACTGTTAAAAACGAAATCTTCACAAGGGCAAGAGATGCACCTGAAATGTTCAGAATTTAACAGTGTAGCAGTTTTGTGAAAGAGGCAAACCTGAAGCCTCGGATCCCAATTAAGTCACAGCAAGTTGGCACATGGGGAAATTTCAAAGACTCCTCGGTTATTATCTAGCTTAGTGATAAGACATTAAGCAGGCGTTACTAGGTTTCTGTCTCAGTATGAAGAAAAGAAAGGATTTGGTTCGTCCCTTACACAACCAGGGCACCTGGGATACAGATGCATTCCCAATGGATACACCCAGACATAAAAAGGCAATCCACACGTGTGGGATGCACATGAACCCACAGCAGGGTTCATACAAAGTGTAGCTTGAAAGGAACATTCCAGCAACACAGAAAGTGATTTCACTCCAATTAGAGGACGGTTATTTATGAGCTATTTGCACGATGAACACCACTCTCAATGGAGATTTAATTCAGAAAGATATCTCAATCTCATTTAGCAAGCTGAGCTTACTTAGGTTCTACAGAGCAAAGAGAAAGGGGGAGAGAAGGAGGGGAAAAAAAAAAAAAGACAAGACCAATTATTTCCCAATTCATAGCTTCAGAAATCACTTATCCCCACCACAAGTAACAAATAATGAACTGCTTCTTGGAACACACCACCACCTCCACTGCTCCCCACCCCTCCCCCACTTTTCAGTATTCAGAAACAGTCTAACTACTGGATGCCACATTTACTCACTAGACTTATAGTCTAGTCTAAGAATTACAGAATTCTAGTATACTTTAAAAACTGTATTTAGTATGTTATTGTGTTCCTTCTTGTCTTTATGTGTTTTATGCTTTGTTTTCCTCCTCTCGAGGACAGCCTGAACTCTGCTAAGCTCACTTACCACTGACTGATATAATTAAGAAGCAAACAAATTTAATACAGAAATCATTGATACACAAAAATAGACATTTTCTCACAATAATGTCTGAGTCCTCATCATTTAGTCTTGCACGGCAAGTTTATGAAACAAGAAACCTGTATTTTTTCACAGTCAGAACACATCACAAATCCATTTTCTATAAAAAATCTGTTTACAGAAAGGCCCAAGCACAGAGAAAGCTGATAAATAGCCCATCACATTAACAGGATAATTTCTCTGAAAGCAAAATTTATTTAAATGCAATATACTCTTTTGTAATAACCCAGAAAGCATAAATGTTGGTTAAAAAAATAAGAGCTTCTGGCAGAAGCAAATTGTGTGATGGAGAGCTATTCTAGACATTACTGGAATGAGAAGATAACAGCTTTTACATCAAGACTATAAATGAAATTTCTGCCTATTTCTCTGCTACTAAAGAAACACTCATAGTCCTTGAAAAATGACATAGGGAAAAGCACTGGTCTAAAATACAGTTAAGATATCTCTGTGACCTGGCTGGTTAGAACAGGTTTGAAATATATCAAATTCTCTTCATCTTCTAGAAAGCTCTATACTCAAAAGAGATTCCTTCAGGATTTTACCTTAATTGTGGCTATGCACACAATGAATCTTTATTTAATTATCTCTAGAGAACAAATATTCTATTTCATATCACGTTGTTTGTATATGATGTGTATTTGCTAAACCATTTCCATTATGTTCTCACTCCTCCTGCAGGGTTACACACTTGATGCTACTCAACAGCCCTAAATACCACAGCCTCATGCCCCACTCTTTACAATCCCCACACCAATGCTGCTATACCCAGTTGCATCAGTTTTCACTCCCTTTCACCAAATACATCAACTACTGATGGAAGCTGAGAGAAAGTTTTACTGCTACATGAGAAATACTTCCAACAACTTCACAACAAAGCTATTTCAAATGCCTCATGGCATTAAGGCAATCATTTTAAATTATCAAAGAGCAGGATTGCCAAAAAAATTCTGCCTGACTAAAATTACCTCTTTAATTAAAGTCCAATCCCAAAAAACACTGCCTCGTTATAAAGAAGTCAGTGATGCAGGCTTTAAATATGGAAAATAGTAGCTGCGTTCTGGAGAAGTCACTCAAATAGAAGCATCCATAGGTAAGACGTATTCATTCACTGAGCTACTCTCAGACTTCAGAGCATACAATTTTCTTTCCAAATCTCTTCTGTCCACTTTGTAGAAATGTATTTTTCTTTAGGGGATTATTTATTTTAAGCAAATGTACTCATTGGAGCAGATATTAAATATGTGAAGAAGTCAGTTTTGTCATTGTAACAACTCACAGTAGTCACACTAAATGTATATAAAAGAAGCTACTCTTACCATGGGAATGCACAAGTGATACAACTAAAATGTACCATTTTGTATCCTCTTTGTGTACACAACAGACCAAATTCACTTATTGTCTTCTCATTCATAAAGATATATAGGTTTCTCAACCTTTGCTGAGGCAAACTTAGCTCCTGGAGAGCACAGATACACCTTAACTTTCTCAGCACAGCCCTGAAGAACAACCAATAAGCTAACCTTCAACCTTTAAAAATTAGAAAAATGGTCACTTAGAATTGAGATAGCAAACTTCAGGCAAGTAAAAAAAAGGTACCACATATAAACATGCTATGAAGACATCTATGGTAAGATAGACTTATCCCACCTACAGCACACAACAAAGGTTTAACTTACGAAGCCTACAGGGCGCGTAAGTATGACCTGACTGTACAAAGTTTTCTCGCAACAAATGCAAATTTCACAGAATTTATGCAACGCATTTTTTCTACAACTATAAGCTTAACTACATTTTAATATCCTGGTCATTAACTACCTTCTAAATTATTTTAGAGATTCTCTGTCCACCAATGAGATGTATAAGGTATTGAAATCCTGTAACAAAATGTGTTTACAGATTTTGAATCCTTACCCTGCGAACAGTACGTTCAGTTTTGAGAACTCTGTTATCACGCACAGAAGCAATTCAGAAAAGAAAGTAAAATAAAACGATTGTAGGGTTGGTGAAAAGTTTTGGATACTTTCACTACTTCTTAGACAAAGAAAAATGGAAAAAAGGAGAACTAAAAGCAGAACAGTATAACCTGACAGATTAGAGAAGAATTTAGGCTACCAGGAGGACTACTCTAGGAGTGAAAGAAAAAAATGTAAGCAAGAGTATCAAGCAACATTTTTTTTCCATCCAAGAGAAATATATTTGGGTGTTGAACTGACTTTTAAAGGATGGAATAATTGAACATGAGTGCCTCCGAATTGGTCACAGTACTTATGGATGCAGCACTAAAGACAAGTCACAGAAGCTAATTTTTAACTGTTGATGATGGAAGAGTACCACCTGCTCTACCCCTCTTACCATCATTTGTAATACAATGGCTTTTAATTCGCACAGAACCAAAACTCCTGAAGAGGATCACTTGATAACTGAAGTAAAGCAGAAGCATGGGTTTATCCCAAAGCAAGTGCCAGGTATCAAACATCAGTAGCTTAGATATAAAGGAGAAAACTTATTAAAGCCTGGGGCTGGGAGAAAGAGGGGAAAAAACCCTAGTAATGTCTCATTTCAAAGAAAGTATAGCAAAATATTCAAATACGGAGAAGCTAAAGCTTCTTTTCTTGCAGGAAGCTGACTGGGTTTCAGGAATCCTTCCAGTTGTTGAGGTCATAGCTGTCCGATTCCATCTTGCAGAACTGAAGAGGTGTGTTAGTTAATACCCATAAAGACACAGGCTAGAAACAGTTTGTTGCCCAATGTAATTCTACACAAAAACCGAGGTGTCATACATCAACATCTGTGGCTTTTTAGCTGCCTTGTTATATGGTCCTGATGTTTTTTCCTCTTTTCCTTCTACTGTCTCTTTCCCCAGTAGCCCAGAAGGTAGCACAGCTTTCATGTGTAATGGTGACTGAAGGCTAAAAGTGATTGGGATCACTCTTCCCCTCATTTCTACATGTTACAGAAATGTTTTTTCTTAAAAAAAAAAAAAAAAAATCACAAACTTCAAGTACATAGATAGAGGCAACAGCATAAAAAGTTTTTGGTCTTGAGTTACAGTTGTCTAACTGACCTGTTTGTTGGAATTCCTGATTTGAATAAGGCAGGAGGAGATGTGAATTCAGCTTTGGCCGAATGCACTGCCAACTCTTTCTCCAAATGTCCAGTTCTGCCCTGCTGTACCTTCAAAATAATGTTTCAGCATTAGTTTAACCCCAGAAGTGTGGTAGCCCCAACACTCAACATAGCACATAACCAATACAAAAAGAAAGGAAGTACAACTTTAAACAGGTTTTTTAAAAAACTATCACCTTTGCAAAGCTAGTAAAATTCCATTTTTTATAAGAATATAAATATACTTAAGTACTGTATTTAGTATATTTAAGAAGCGATACACCAGAGAACAAATCATTACAGATTAGACAGTTTTAATACTTTTTTCCAAGCATTTGATTTGGACATGAACAAACCAAACTGATTTTCTTGTCAAATTTCCTCTATGAACAAAATAGAAGAAGCAACCTTATTAAAAAAAACCAACCTTCACCATCTTAACAACAGAGATCTCTAACGAGTCTGTTACCCAGCAACAAACCATGAGACAAGAAACTGAGCAGATTGTCTGTCTGTCTTACTGACCATGAGATGCAGTAACCACTTAATTTCTGAGTCCTACGAGGAAGTCACCTCATACTCCAGGTTATGCAAACTTTAAAAGGTTTTTCATTAGTTGACAATAAATACTTCAAAACCATACTGCTGTTTCTGAAATATTGCAAAATTCCAGAGACATGTTATTAAAGCTATGCAAGACCTTGGGTGCAAGCACTTCAAGTATTGTTTCACTACAGCAGGACAGTATATGTGAAAGAAAAACCTACGTTTACGCTTAGCATTAAAGACAAAGCTGTACTGATTCAGTTTTTAAAGACAGTCCCACTGTGCCAACCACACACCTACAGCACTCTACACAACTAGTTCGCTCATGGTGTAACATCATACAGGCTGTGATTTCACAGCTTCCTGTGGGCAAGTGAACGACTAAGCTTGTGCAGAGTCTCACATCTAAACACAGGAATCTCTTTCACAAACCTATAAAAACACACATAGACAGTTAAGATTTGTTAAAAACTGAACTAAACTTCAGTATCCAGGAATATGGAAAAATAAATACTAAATAGCTTTTGTTTAAATAATTATCTGAAAAATCTCTATTAATTAATGAGTAACTAGAAAATGTAGGAGTCTTGCCAGTTAACAAATATTAATCCAAACGTACCATGTAAATTACATGAGATTTAGGATTTCAGAATAGTGAGAAAAAAGTTAATGAAATTCTTTAATTATATGTAAACTCCTTGTAAAACACAAGACAAACTCTTACAACACAATTATTATCTAGATTGTTTATCACTGGCCCAGAGAGTCAATATTGAGCTAGAAGTAGGGGAAGCTTTCCTTTGGAATACTTATCCTTCTTCCTTCATGACTACAGTTCAGGGACGTTTTAGAGTTTAGTCAGCTGCAAATCATAACTCCCATTACCCACCATTCCAACACTATTATGATGATAACTGAGGAAGGCAAAAAGCCCTGGGGAGCTTCTGATCTGTTCTTGCTAAGATAAAATCAAAATGACTGGATGCCCTCAAGCAGCATATGAAGAGAAACAAAAAAATTGACACTTCTGTCACAGGACGATACAGAAGAAAGCAACAAACAGTTCCAAGTCAGCGTAATGACAGTTCAAGAACAAAAATGACTGCATATTGAAAATAAGTAGAATAAATAACCTTTCTATTTTAACTTCTACTTTAGTATCAAACAAAAGAGTAAATGAGAAAGCAAGGTGATGAAAAAATGTTCAAGCCTTAAGATAAATCCTGTCATATAGATTTTCTGGTCTCTGAAAATCAGCATTTCCAAACAACAAAAATATTATATATAACTTGATCTATTGCCATCTGATCCCAAAAGGACAACAGAAATATAGGGAAGATTGATTTTCACATCTCAGCTGCCAAGGATAAGTGTTACAAAACACAGTAAGAGCTACAAAGGCCACAGGAAAAATAAACAAGCCATCATCTACAAAAGCTTCCCCAGCACATCCCCATAAACTCTTTAATCTGCACAAACCAATGCACTGCAACTAAAAATAAACCATCACAAAGGAAAATTAGTTTTGCTGGGAAATCTGTTAGTTCACCAGGCCGCTGACTCACATGCTTGCAGAAGGGTGACGGACAAAGCGACACTTTTTAATCAGCATTTTGGAGACAGATGCAGAACATCACTGCTGTAAGAATAGAGTGTGAATACTGGCTGTGTCCATTTCAGCTGTTCCTCTATCAGTCTGTGGTGGCACGGGAAGCAATACCCAACAAAAATGAGATCAACCAACAAAAGTTTACTAAAATTCACCTTAAAAAGATGGTATCTGCCATCGAGAATCTCTGCCCTTGGTCTTAGTTCCATAGCATTTTCTTCAGCCTAAGTTAAATAACACATTGCCCATTAAGATACCATACAAGTCTTAAGTGATGGGCCACAATCTGAATAATGGTGCAGATGCAATCTACTTGTAGCTAGTCTGTCAGACTACTCACACAAATTGCCAGTGAAGCAAACACTCTAGGCTTGGGGTGGGGAGTCAGATGCAAACTCTTATACACACACTGAACTGGGCACAACAAGCTTATGACACACAAGCAGCTTCACAGGGCAAAAAAAGCACGCAGAATACCACAAAAGTTGTACTAATTACCGTAATTTTATTTGTGGTTGAGGTAACTGGTAGAATTTCAAGACCCATTCGTATTCTCTTTTGTTTTTCACAGTAAGCTTTCCAGGTATCTTCATTGAACCCATAGTTGAAATAATCAGAGAGATCAGCCCCTATAAATAGAAAAGCATAGGGTTTTAGGAGATTACAAAGTTAACCTTTTCTTCGATGAACATACACACCTCTTATTAGAGCATGAACACAAAGAGCACAAGCAGCTCCATTTCACCACCCTTCACACTCAACCCTGCTGGAACTGTTTTCCATCTTGCTTTATCTTCTATCCTGTGTCACAGATCAATGGCCGTAGTCTCCACAGAAATACGGATTTCCAAGGAGAGTTCAGGATAATACATGTATTTAAAAGAAAAAAAAAAAAAAAAAAAAAAAAAAAAAGAAGAGCATGTCCTAGAGTCTCTTTTTGCTGACATATGTGTGGGATGAAACACGGCACACCCACACACTCCGTGACAGACCACAAAGTCCAACAAGTAACTTAGCTGCTTTTTCCAAGTTAGGTTTTACAGCATCTTCTAGCTATAGGGTAGGTAACACCTACGTGCCGTAAATGGGAATTATTATTAAAATAACCTACTGAATACCTACATATCAGTTGAGGTAAAACAGAGCATTACCTGGCTTTCTCCAAGGTTTATCTTCAAAAGAATCTAAATCTACTTCCAGAAGTGGCACACCATTAATACTCCCTGGTGCATCTAGATCCACCCCTTTCACTTTTGCACCTGTGAAGAAAAGTTAGAAAGTTGGAACCGTCTCTCTCCCAAAGAGTTTTAACAGTTGTAACACTTAAAATAGAAATAAAACGTCACAATTTTAAATTATCAAGACGTTTGGGGAGTGAAAATTATTTCCTTCATCCAAAACAATCAAACCTTTTTCTGCATTTTTACTAATGTTATTGTGTAAATTTTCTTACCAGAAGATCCATAAGCTCGTCCTCCTGTCTTAATGTTGAGATTCACAGGTGCCGCTCCGTAGCTTAAAGAAATTAACAAAACTGAATTAGAGAGAGAAAACTCTTGGGAGAAAACACAAAACAAGAGTCAGCTAGATCCAGAAACAAACTGGACCAAGGATCAATCGCCATCCTGAATCTCTAGCTTTCCAAGCTGGTAACACTGTAAGAGTAAAGAGATCAGCCTAGGAGGAAGAGAGTGTACCTTTCTATGCTCAGTAGCAACTCCTCCAACTAATAAACAGTTGTGAAGCAAGTCCCAGTCACTCCTCCTGAGGTGAAAGGATAAAGACCTTGACAGAAACAAGAATGGACAGAACCAGAAGAAGACAGAAAGGAAAAATGCAGTTCATTTAGGGATACAGATGACATTCTGGGGATTAGAATAAAAACAAAATCAAGAAAAAGAAAGGTTTTAGATAGATCCTTTTCTTATAATTATTCCACTTAAACTGTACAGAAGGGAAATTACAAGCATTTCTCCACAGTGATTGAAAGGCTGTCTGTTTCAATGTATTTCTATCCTTGTGACCCACATGTAGGATAACCATGTCACATTTCACTTACTAAAACACTTGAGAGCTTTCTTCATAAATATGCACTCAGAAATCCAGACACTGAACTGATTTAACTGCCTTAGGAGTTACAGTATCAGTTCATTTGGAGCTTTCACTACCATTTGCATGCAATGTATCTCACCCTCTCAGGTGGCATCTACCCATAAAGACAATGAGATTAGCATAAAATTAGAAGACATTGTATAGTTTACAGTACCACTTCCATGCAGTTTTAGTTTTCATTCAAGTACTACAACAGTACAAAACTGACACAATACATTTAACCTTCTCATCTGCCTTGCTATATTTGTGCATTACTTTGTCAAACAAATCTTATGGATTGGGTTTTTTTTTTAAACAGCAGTTGACTCCTATATGAAAAAATCATTTAATCCCATAAAATGAACTTATACTGAAGTTAAAACAAACAGCAATGTTGAGTTTGTTTTAGATTACTGCCCCACCATGAACTTTCTGTCCAATTTGCCCAGAAAAAAGCTTTTGCAGAAAACAACCATTTCTACATAAAACTTTCTACTCCTACTAGATTAGGATCATCTGCTCATTGTTTTCTGTATGCATGGAAAGAGCATCAGCAAACCCACTGAGAATATAAATCTAGCTCTGCTTTAGTCTCACAAAATTTGAGGTCACTGCCTACACCGCAAGCATACTGCAAGTTATTGAAAGCAGACAAATAAAGCACTGAAAGAATTGCTATTTTTTATATTACATTGATTTGTACAGTTAATTTAGGATATAAAATACTGAAAGTTTAAAAAAATTGTGTTTCAAAAACGAGCAAGTCACCTTTATTCTAAAGTTAAGAATGCAATAATATATCCAGACCTACTTGTGGACTTGTCATAATCCTATTAAGAAATGAAGCCCTAATAATCTGGTTTTAATAAGCATAAAACATTAGGATTGCCAGGACAAACCACCTCCTTCAGAAAATTTCCATGTACTGAAGAATAATATTTCATAACTTTGGGTAAAACTAACCCAGTTCAAAAGCATTCAGTGAAAAACAAACCCTTCATCAAGAGAAGGAGGAACATAGGCAATAACACAAAACCAAAAAAAACACTTGTATGACACAAATGCCTGAACCATGATCTTGAGAAATTATGTCCAGAGACTGGCAGCTCAATCTTGATTAAAATCTTATTTGAGACCATCAAAATTAATTGAAGCTATAGCAGTCTAATTGGAATTGTATCCACCAAACAGGACCAATGACAAATGTTTCTAATGTTCTCTATGCTTACCACTGTACCATGTGCAACAAAAACGTCACAGTAACAACCCTAAAAATGCTATGTAACATAGCCATTCCATAATGAAAAGCTACTCTGTACAAACTCAATTATTTCTCAAAATCTGAAAACAAAATTTAACTTGTACAACAGCTCTTCCTTGAAGACATTTCACTGATTTTACGTTTTTGTTTTCAAGTCACTCTATCATTATAAACATCGTTAATGTTGAATAAAACCTAAATCGAGACTAACTACGCATGCAATTTGACACTGACAGGTATTGATGAGCCTGAATTAATAATTAAATGTAATCTTGAAAGCTCCCCGAGTTAATGTTTGCAAGTAACTTACCCATACTGTGAAGCTCCTGTTTTAATATCCCCTATGGTGACTTGAACATCATCTTCATCGTCACTATCACTGTCATCCTCAGCCTCTGCCACCTTCTTCTACAAGAGAAAAAGTCATTGCTTAGACAAAAAGCAGGCACTTACCTTTGCAGTGGAAAAATAATCCAGGCAAAACTATCCATTCTAGAAATCCTCGAAAGAAGAATTCTCATTTTCCTGAGTTCAGAACTGAGTGGCATTAACAATAAATTTAGGAAGCTCATCTGCTTAAATGCTATAAGTATCCAAAACACTTGGATCAAAATAGGGAAGTAACTTTAATAGTAAGCTCTGTTTCTGAAACATGAGATTTCCTAAATAGGCATAAAATAGTTTCTACTATCTAATAACCTTCTTCCCTCTATCTAGTTCATACACACTGGTTCTACTCTTACCTTCTCACTCAGGAAAGAACTTAAAGATATGCAAAACCAGCTTCCTGCCATCCACAATTAAATATCCAGGGTAACTCAAATAATGTTTTTCCCGTTGTAGATGAACACTGCACTTCACAGAAATCTGTTCAGTTCCTAACATCAGTAAACTATATAAAATACTTGAGATTTTTCAGCAAACAGGCTGAAAAAAACGATACAAGAGCACACTGAGTGCCATTCTGTCACACAGCATTCAAGCTTGCTGGTAAATAAAATGCCAGTTCATACCAAGAGTTCATCTAGTCCCGTGTTTTGGGTTTGTTTGGTACTTTGTTTTGGTTTTCCCCTCCCAGAGACCACAGGGGAGAGGAAAAAACAGGGCAAACACATCTGATACTCCTCCTCAACCCTCTTTCGGCTGCTGATTACTATCAGCTTAGGGCATTTCCTGAGCCAGTTACAGTTTGTCCATTTAGTACCCCTAATTGGTCTTTCTCTCAAGTACCTGCCCAGACCTCCCTTGGACTCACATAAACTCCCAGCAGCGACACTGCCTTTGGAAAGGAGTTCCATAGCACTGTGAAGATCCAACTGACACAGCATGAAGATCCAACCTTTTATTTGTTTTCATCCTGGCTTCTCCAACTTTCATTTAACAGTCCCAGTTCTCATATGGAAGGGACTGTGAGGAGTCAATCCTTACTTACAGCCTCCATACATGATTTTGTTAGTCTCCATCATATCCTACATATGCCTGTCTTCCAGGCTGAGGAGTCTTTGCCTACTCAGCCATTCCCTATATGGAAGTTACCTCGATTACTCTTGCTGTTCTTCTCTCAATTTTTTTTCAGTTGAAGTAAGGCCTTTATGATGTGAGGGGAACAGAACAGCACAAAGAATTCAGAGTGCAAATGAACCATGGATTTATGGCATAATCGTATCTTCCATTCTGTTCTCTATTCATTTTCTGGTATATTCCAAAGTTTAACTGCTTTTTAGACTCCAGACACTCAACCACCAATGTCATGGGTCCTTTTATGTATCTTTGTGTGTCCCTTCTAACTGATAATGATCAGCTCAGAACAACCATTTTATCTGTAAACCTGTTTTTCTTCCCATGAACATCACTCTTCTTTTTCTACATAGAATTTCAATAACCATTTATTAACCAGCCAGTTCTCCACAGGTAGCCTTATTCTTAATATCTTGAATAACTCTGTAACATCATAAAACCTGTGATCTCACAACTTACCCCTTTTTCAAGTCATTTATAAACACATTAAACAGCACAGGTTATGCACAACAATCCAAAGGATCACCCCTGGGCGTGACCTTCCATCACTGTGAAAACCAAACCTTCACTTCTACCCTCAGTTTTTTGTCTCTTACACGTCAATTATCCAGGTGGGACTCATCCTATAGCTGCTTAGTTTTCTTAAAATCCTTTGGTGAGGAACTTCTTCAAAAACTTTGTGGCATCTAAGTGAACTTTATCAACTAGATTACTCTTAGTCATGTACTTGCTGAATCCTTCAGCAAGAGGCTGAACACACCAAAGCCAAGCTGATTCTGCCCAGGTAGTCTGCAGTTACCCAAGCACAGCTCAGTTCCAGCCCTTACGTATTGTACCATCTACTACCTTGCCTTGGATGTATATTAGACAAAAAATAAGCAGCTGCACAGAAGATAAAATGTTGGAGTGCAGTTCATCCTTGCTATACAACAGTAATACAATTCACATAACAATTAAGAGTCTAATCACGGACGGGGGAAATCTAGATCAGTATAGATATTCTGTAGAGAACAGGTGAAGACAGTTGTTCAGTGCCCCACTGCTGAGGAGTACAAGTTCACCAGCGTCACACACCAGGCAACCCACACAGTAGAGAGCCACTACAAATGCATCTAACAGAAAACCAAAATTTTGCCTGGAGCATGTACCTTTTTAACCAAAACCAATTTCACTTTTTAATAACGATTTCTTAGTTCCCTCCTCACAGAAATATTCACCTTTTCTTATTCAACCAACTTGGACACCGACCATTTTTCTAGGTTGCTGCTGACCCTTCGGGTGCACTTTTTACCATGAAGTTGTCAATATTACAGAGATTTTCTAATGAAAATCCTAACAATGCTACACTTTATACAGGTGAAAAATACAAAGATATGCGAGCACAAGGGACCTGCACCAATGAGGATTTTCAGAAATATTTTAAAATCAGCAAGTCCAAAGACGTATACCATTGCCTCCTTGTACCTAATGTTTCTCAATCTACTGCCTACTTACAGTATTAGCATCAGAACAAAAAGCCTTCGGTGAGCTTAAAATAAAGAGCTTTTCAGTTTAAACAACTGAAATAAGGTTTATAAGTTGTTGTAAGGCTTTTTTTTTTCCTAACTTTAAATAAGTTGTAATATCTTCCATAAATCAAGTATTGCACTTACTGAAAAAAAACCCAACATATACTTTTGAGAGAGGCCAGTCCTTAAAAATTGCACAAATATTATCATAATTATTGCTGTATCACTTAAGAGAATTCTTGCAAGACACAATCTAAAAAATCCCAGTGGAATAAAAATTTCAATTTCATTTCACAGAACAGATTTAAAGTGTTCCCATTCAGAGTAAACTGAGGTCTTTTATCAACACTGCAACTGTATATTTCATTTCCTGGTCCTTTACTTCATCATACTAAGACTGAAGTTGCAAGACTTGCTGAACATTGAAGACTACTACCAAATAATTCTGCTGTGTTCCTTCTCAAAGACATATGTAATTTATCTCAATACATATTTTCAAATAGTTCTGCAAATGCTGATTATTTATCACATTCAAAAAAAGAAAAATTATCAGAGGATTTTATTTTCCTATCAGTGAGGAAAAACAGTATCATTTTGAAAAGGATGTCTTTGAGAAAAGGCAGATGTCTTGAAGCACCATCCTCCCCCAGAAAAAACCCAGAAGTACTGTTCATTTATCTTGTGTAAGTTAGATTTGAAAAGTGGACTGCAGCTGGAAATTGGATTTCCTAATCTAGTAATTTCTACAGTTTCTTCAGATAATGTCAAACACCTTTCAGAAAGAAAGAAAATCAAAGGCATACACTTACACATTAACTTATTTCGTTATAAGCCCTAGCCAAATTATGAATACCCCACAAATCAAAACAAAAAGCAGCATTTCAAAAACACATTTAAAACTACCGTTTTTGCAACGCCATTTTCTGCAGCTTCCTCTTCAATTCCAGGTGGGGGTGGAACACTTAAAATAAAAACAGACAGGAAAAGATGAAACTAGGTATTTAGGCACATATTATTTCACACATATCAGCTAACGATGAAGAAAACCTTGCTACATACATCACTCCAGAGCAGAGCCAAAGCTCCAGCTATCTTCTGCATTAATTAAAAAAAATTATCACTAAGAAAACTTTTAGACAAATGTAACTTCACATCAGTAGGATAATATTTAGCTACCTGGATGTTTGTAGGATAGTTGGAAGTAATAAGGCAGTACACCTGGATCCTCTTATGAAATCAAAGTGAAATCTTTCATAAGGGAAGGGAGAATAACAGCTTGGGTTTTTCTTTCCCTGACTGACACTTTTCAAAGACATAATGGAAAAAACATTTAAACACCCATAGGTAATGTTTCATTGAATCAAAATTCCCACATCTGCATTGTGAAATTTCTTCCACCATATGGAATAGCCACAATTAAATAATGAATTCAATTATATTTTAACTATACACTGAAAACTGTAAAAACTGGTCAATC